ACCCGGACCAGGCGGATTTTTTCGGTCGCTCACCAGTCACCTAGCTGTGTTTGGAGATTTATGTTTGTCCCTTGTCCCTCTTGTTCCCCTTCTCGAGGGATTATTTTCATCATTATTGTCCAGTTCGCTTGCCCCTTTGCATTTAATTGCATTATAATTATAACATTAAATTGCAAGCTTCACCCTTGTTGGTGTTAGACTGGTGGCAGCTGATAAAACCCGTTTGCTCTACTGACGTCTAACCCCTGGTTAGCTCAGTTGGTAGAGCGCTCCACTTGTAATGGAGAGGTCCCGGGTTCGATACCCGGACCAGGCGGATTTTTTCGGTCGCTCACCAGTCACCTAGCTGTGTTTGGAGATTTATGTTTGTCCCTTGTCCCTCTTGTTCCCCTTCTCGAGGGATTATTTTCATCATTATTGTCCAGCTCGCTTGCCCCTTTGCATTTAATTGCATTATAATTATAACATTAAATTGCAAGCTTCACCCTTGTTGGTGTTAGACTGGTGGCAGCTGATGAAACCCGTTTGCTCTACTGACGTCTAACCCCTGGTTAGCTCAGTTGGTAGAGCGCTCCACTTGTAATGGAGAGGTCCCGGGTTCGATACCCGGACCAGGCGGATTTTTTCGGTCGCTCACCAGTCACCTAGCTGTGTTTGGAGATTTATGTTCGTCCCTTGTCCCTCTTGTTCCCCTTCTCCAGGGATTATTTTCATCATAAAATACAATATAGTTCTAAATTTGAAGCTGATCTATTTACAGGTGTATAGACCATTCCATTTAGCGCTCTCTGGGCGGCGCCATTTTGTTCGACCGCAGCACTATCTCCACACATCCGAGAACTTCAGCGGGTTCGGCGGGATAAAAGGAGAGAGAGGGCACGCGCGTGACTCCGCTAGCAGACGACAAACCGGGAGGTTGCCGTTCTCCATCTTTGGGCTGTATCGGTGGGCTCTACCAATACCACCTAGAACACAAGGCCTGCGCGTTTCCTCCTCTAAACGTCATATCTAGTAGATCCCCGCAGCGCCCCCTAGGTAGCCCGGATGAGCTCCATCGTCTGCTACATCGTCTGCTCCATCGCCTGCTGCCTCGCCTGCTTCAGTGATCGTGCTGAGAACGAGTTTACGTGGCTAAGATCGGCAATCTTGATGGTGTCGCATGCACGTCGCAAATGAACTGTGGTAGCTCGTCATTAGCTAGCGCTAAGCAGTTGCGCACGCAGCTGTGGCCGCCAGTAAATGCGGCGCAGTTCCTCCGAAAACCCACGAGAGGGGCGGCGAACGCCGATAAAGGACTCGGAGTCTACGTAAGCAGACGCTTTGTGAGCCCCGTTTCGTCACCGCAACAGCTGAAACAATTCATTACGGTCAGTCCGCTTGCGAAGCGGAATCCACTGATCGCAACTGCAACGACAATCAAATAACAACGCACGCATAAACAAAGATAAAGCAGTCTATTTAGCGGCCTTAAACGCCACTCGGGGGAATCACACGAGTTTGGAGCGCATATGGGAAGCGGAAAAAAGGCATTTAGCTACTCGAACTACGTCGTAAGAGGTTACTGTTGATCCGTTACAGACTGCGTTGTCACAGTTTCTTACCTGAATATGTGATCATTAAAACGTGTGCAAACAACATGTTAAGATTATTAGAGCAAGCGAACCAGCCGCTGCAATAAAAAAAAAAAAAAAAAAAAGTAACGAGAAAATGACCGTGGAAACATTTTCCGAACTTTGCAGGAAAGATGGGGTCCCCTTCTCGGACGAAAATAAAGAGAAATGGGGAACAAGTAGCGAACAACGGCGAATAAAACAAAACTTTAGCAGACGATAGAAAAATACAAATCACCCTGCAAAATCTCCTTCAACGACGACGGTCATTGCGGTGCATAGGAAAAAAAAAAAAAAAAAAAAAGGAAAGCAGCAGCATAAAAAAAAGAGCTTCTCTTTTCTTTTTGTTGTTTGTTTTAGCTTAATTTTAATGTTACAGCAACTTAATTACTCACGTTTGTTCGGTCTTCGGGAAGTGGAAGAATGACTTTCTAACACATCGCAAAAACTTGTGTTTGCAGTGGTAGGCAGCACATGACACGCCTTGGTGTATGCCCGAAGGCAGCCAGTTGAACAACAAACGATGACCCATAGCAGACGTTCCGGCGTAGACAAATAAAATTCGAATATAAATGTATAACGAGCTTGCACATTTTAATATATTTAAAAAATACCAAAAAAGCACCATATGACGCTTTCGAATTAGAAACTCAAAGGCGGAAATAGGAGGTTATCGCAGACGACAGTGGAAGAAAACAACAACAACAAAGTTGCAGACGGCTCTCAAAATGTCCGGGCACAGCGTAGCAAACGGACTGGCGGTAGTAAGCGCCGAACTGAAGGAAACAGAGCAAAAACTAATCCAAACAAGTCAAAACAAACTACGCGATGGTTCGAACATAAACAAAAAGGGGGAAAAAACACAAACCAAAACCACATAAAAGCAGGAGGAAGAAAGAACACGACGTCGTAGCGTCCCCTCGAAAATAAAAAGAAAGTAGACTTGGAAAAATGGAAAGAGTTGCTGGACGGTCTAAAGGGTGCCGGCTTTTATTGTAGAAGGCGATGAAGACGTTAGACGTCCGGGCGCTAACAATCGGAACTTGTGCAACCGAAATCACCTTCTTTTTCTTTTGCACTAAAATGCTCTCCTCGTTTGTTTCTTTTTTTCTTTTTTTTTTTGGACGTGCTAAAAGTTTGCTTTGCTTGTAACTCCGCTTTTATTAGTTTCAGTTTCAGTAATAGCGTCAGATTTGCATGTGCACAATCGAATTCTTCCAGAGCATACTGACATCGCAATAACGTGCGTGGTTTGAAATTGACTTTTGCTTCTTCACCCTATTCGCCTATTCGACAAAACAGTTATTAGCAAGACATTCATGAGAGATGGGAACTGCGACAACAAAACAAATTGATTGATAAGAACAGTAAAGTTGAAACGTAATTACGTTCTACAATGTTTCTACATTGCCCTATTTTCAAAAGACAGTGTGAAGGTACATTCGTGTTTTGTCTCGCTTACATTAGTGGTGACAGGGTGTTTTCTTTATGAGAGTCCCAAAATTGCAACTGAAAACTCTAACATCTTTCCCACGCGAAGAAAATGTCCTTCCCTTATGAGGAGGCACCTATTTTTCTAGCATTCAAAGCAGGGAATACCCGTGACACCTCTTTTTTATTGGTCACCTTGCACGGAAATGGGCAAAACCAATGCGTAGCGGAGAATTCGTCTGCTAGCGGAGGCTCTGAGCTCGCCAGGGGCGCTGCGATGACGCCCGTGCTCCGCGGGGCGCCTACTCTCGTCAAGCTTCGGGGTGTTTGCCGCTTGGGGCGGGTCGGGGATCTACTAACGAAACGTCATGCGCAGGCCTTGTCTTCTAGGTGGTATTGGCTCTACCCAACATCGAACTCTCGCTCGTGGCTGCCGTTGTGAAGTGGTTCGCGTTCTTAGAATAGTTGTGGCTACTCCAAAATCAGCCTATAGCTCTCTGTTGTTCTATTTTGCTAAATGATCAACTAGCATATCTTTTTTCCGTTACTTAAATAGCAGTTGAGTAAGCCGGCAGTACTACCCTCAACTACTGCTTGTATTGCGGCAGGAGAGCACGTTTTATTTATTATTTCAGACTTCCACTCATGGTCGCTAAAGGCCTACACCAGTACGAACTTTTGTATATAGTAAAAAAGGTACAGCAACCGGATTTACTTTTCACCAAAGAGACCGGCCAATCTGACACAGTTTTTCCTATTTTTTTCTTTTATTTGCACGCAGGTAACAGCTCCATTGGACCCTGTGAGTCTTTTTATCTAGCATAATATTACACGGCAACTGGTATACCAAAATCTGCGCATCTGCGCTTGAAAGTTACAAAATGACGCGATTTTAAACAGAGTTTGCACGCCCACTCGGCGGAGCGGACGGCATTCGGGGTGAAAGGGGGAGTGCATTTTTTTTTTTTCTTTTACCCTCTCTGCTATGACCCTAATGGAACGTAACTCTTTACTCTTGTACTTAAACATTTTGATTCAGGTAAAATATATGTTACTGGTAAACAAAGGGATGTGGAGTCTTATGAACACGACGTTATGTATGTTAATGTAGATTTTTTCTACTCTTGCGTCGAAATTAGATAACTGAATTTAATATTTCTGGTACCTAAAAACAAAAGTAAATTGCACGGACGATCGAAGAAACTATATAGTTCAACGCGAAAAATATATTCTCAATTTAGCGGTTCAAACCGGTTCGAACCGGTTTGAACCGTTATTTTTTGCTCCCCGGAACTGAACCGGAACCGAACCGAAAGCCGTGAACCCGAACCGGAACTGAACCGATAAAAATTTCAGTTCGACACTCTGGATGTGATTGCTGCCCCAAAGGAGCTAACCCTGATACATCCTGCTACGTTTTGCCAAAATATGGGTAATCTGAGCCAATCCTGCGCCAAAGGACCAATTTCGGTCGCCTTTCAAAAACGAAACTAAATGGTGCCGTAGTTGATCATGACTGAGCTACTTTGCGCAAGCGGCCCCACGACACAAAGTTCCCGCCGTCTCCCGTTTCGCGCTCCCATCGTCTCGTAGGTCTCGTCTCGCTTCTTTTTAAAATTTTTGCAACGATAGATGCAAGTGTGTGCAGACGCTCCGACGCTAGCGTGCCGGGTACCAGCCATGCCGTCATGCTGTGACCCTGGGTTAGCTGGCTCAACGACACACGAACTTGGCTTAAAGGCGAGGTGGCGCTAGTCACTGCCTAATAGTGGTCTCGGTGGAAAGGAAGCACCCATTTAATCCATTTGTCTAAAAAAGCCGCAAAAATGTCATGACAAATAAAACTTTTACGCAATAAAATTAACTATTACTTATTAAAATAATTCAAACAATAAACAGAAAGATTTTTTAAGTGGAGCACTTCCTTTCTGGCTCTAATAAAACAATTGTTTATCTGTCGCATTTGCTGCGAAACGCCAAGAAAATGGCGCATAATCATGGAAGTCATAACGATCTCTAGAACCCGCAATTTCTCCCTGGATCATGTTATTTTCTCATTGATGGTACTCACCCGTTTATTTCTAGAGTGACACACGCTTAAAAAAAGCGAGAATGAAGCTTCTGCACAAATACATCGACAAGGACGGTAGCGGGTAAGCCTTCCAACAACGTTCATGTGCCTGTCCCAAACGACTCGACGGACGTGCAATCGTGGCATCGAATTTCAACAGCCTTCGCTGCCAAGGTCCCCGTATTGCCCGGTTTAAACTCACAGACTGTAATTAAACAGAGCCTACTTCCAACGCCTACATTTAAGGCTTTGTGGAGGAATATGAGGTATTAAAATTGTGGCAATCACGGTAGGTATTCGAAAAAAGAATCTTGGAGTGCAGGCGAGGTGGTGGTGCAAATCGAACATGATTGTAAACTCCGTGAGTGGGCGGAAAAGAGTAAAAACGGTAAGAGATGCACTTTTGGTTTGTTTTACTCATTTTTACCTTGGTTGTAGGGTTTACCATTATGTTCAGTAGTAAACACTCCTCCAATCAGCACCGCCGAAAGGTTTTCCGAAGTACCCGTAATTTGACAGGTCGAATTTTATCCGCCGTTTGGATCCGGTGCTGTTCGTCTCTAGCCGCGTCTTTATTTATTTACTTTTTTTTATCTTTCTGGCATTTAGGAACGTTACCTGTGTTCCTGAAGAAGCAGAGGACATGTGGCACGCGTACAACCTCATGTCGGAGGGTGACAGCCTCAAAGCCTCAACCATCAGGTCGGTTCTCTTACTTGCTCGGAAACCCCAGTACCATTTACAAACTGTGATCGCACCTGTCTTCCTATTTATTTTTGTAAGTAATTCCTGCCGCAATGCCCACATTTGACTACTACCATCCCACTCGACAGCTTTTGAGAAACCAATGACATTACTCCATGTTTTAAGTCCTTTCTATACAGCCAGCTAGTTCCTTCTGTGCTAGGGGTCTGTAAGCAGATTGATGATAAACTTCAACGGGCGATACATCGGTTATTATACTTTCAGTGAATTCTACTTAGAAACGGTCTTCGACATTCATAAGCTATAAAATGTGCGTCAGTTTTTCTGTCCCCACGTTGGCAGGCGCTGAGCAAATGAGACAAAAATGAGCAGCGTTCTACCCCTCAGTTTGCAGCCAGAACAAGCGGCTTGCTGCACGACATGATGCCGCTTAAACACCATCTCAACGTCATGTCTCAGCTGTTACGCTTCTGGCTGAATGGGATGTGGGTAGGTCGGGCATTTCTTCGTTGTAAACCTGCCTTGTCCAAACTCCACAGACTTGTGTAGGCTAGGGCTGCACTGAAAGAGCTGGGACAAAGGTCAAGGTCAGTTCGTGAGTTTCTGGCTATCGGTTCCGTCTGAGAATGTTGATAGGCGCCGTGAAAAAAGAAGACTAGACGCCGTTGGACCACGATCGCCTGTGTGGCAAGCGTTTTGGGGCGAATTCATGGAGGTGCCATAGAATTTATTTCTATTCTACCAACATGACTGTGGGAGATCCATAAATATTCTGGACCACTTGGACCATATTCAGTGCATCTTCACGTTCAGACAACTGTCTGCACGCTCAAATGAATGACTTCACACTTGAACAAAAACAGCTCAAAGACCACATCAAGGTTATATGTGCTGTCGACACAGTAGTTGCGATACAAAGTAATTGTAGGGCCCTAAAGACTCGTAGTAAACTTGAAGGGTGTCTGGGGTAACTCAAATTCATGTAAACGGCACACACAGAGGTTTGCCATTGAAACTGGTGGCAATAGCAGAGTTAATATGCCCAATATGCAAAACCCAATTTTTTTTTTTTTTTTCCCAGTTGAGCGTTGCACTTTTCGTCTAGATTTCTCTTGTGGCCTGAGCGACGTCAAAACTGAATATAGCGAGCCAAATTTCATTGTTTGAATCACTCTTCAACATTCATTCAGCTGTGTCCACGCGGAATGGTTCGCTGTATTGCACATCATTCATGCAAAGGTTTGCAGTGTAAAGAGCAGTGTCCATTTCGCCGAGGCCATTAAAGTTGTCAGACATTGCTATATTCCGCGACAACTTTTCTTGGCATTTTTGGGGAGAGGAGGAGAGCCCGTGCACAGCTTTATTCAGCGCTCCAAATGGGAGAGGGAACACGTGCCTGTACAGCTGCAACGGAAAAAGAGTAGCACAAGTGACCGATCACCGGAGTGGCAAAATCGCGACACGCGGCGCTATTGTTCCCGAGCACGCCGATAGCGAGAGTGCCAGTCATGTTGCATGTCCCAGCGTGGGGGGTGGCCGGCAGAAAATTGAGGGATAAGACAGCTTTTAAAATGTGGGTGGACTTTAGGATGGGCTGCTTTCTGCCGGCCACCCCCGCGTTGAGACATCGAACGTGACTGGCACTCTCACTATCGGCGCGCTCGGGAACATAAGCGCCGCGTGTCGCGATTTTGCCGCTCCGGTCATCGGTCACTTGTGCCACTCTTTTTTCGTTGCAGCTGTACTCTCCACTGCATTGCCAAGAAAAGTTGTCGCTGAGTATAGGAAGATGAAGAATAAAAAGATTTGACTGTAAAAAAGCATGGACTCGCACAGACGTCGACATTGCATCCCAATAGTTAGTTGATGGTTGATGCCGTGCTTCTTGCCCACACCCGGTCACGCATCCGCCATGCTGCTGGCGCGTCTCTAGGGGCTCACGGATTCGTTTACGATTGTGAGTTGGTGTATATGCCGACAATGTTGATAATAGCTACTAGCTGGGGTTGGCAAAGCACAGGGCATATTCTGAGTTCCTTACATTCTTGGGGTTCGGCTATTACCGTCCTTGCAGCAATTAGACACGAGCGACTGCCAAGATGCTTGTCAAGGAATTATCTGAGAACTACCTAAATACCTGTCGAAGAATTATGAAAGAATGTGGTTGTCTTAGTGCTTGTCCTCCTCTTTTTATTCTTTTGATTTTAAGAATTATCTCCATCGTCAATATCCTAAATCGAGTGCCCGCGCAGTGCTCGTGTCTTGTCTCTAAGCCGCACGAACCCATGACTACGGGGTAATCCCCGTGATGAGGTCATCAAGTTTTGCGGAGGGGAAACTAAAAAATTTATTTTGAAATTACATTGCAACAAGGACGCTTCTCCTTTGTCAGTGGCATTGCGTGTGAGTATAGTTTTGTCACAGTGTGAGTAAGCTTGTTTCAAGCGAGGAACATTCGAACCCAATATTGTTGCGCAAAACCTTCAATAGCATCGTTATCTCTCTCAGCTTAGTGAAAAATAAAATGCTGAATTGGACAAGGCACCTTGATTTTGGGGCGACTAAGTGCAATGGTGGGAGCACATGATGTCAGTTGCACCTCGCCAGCAGTTATTCTTGCTCACTAAAAGCCCCTAAAGCTGATTTGAGGTTGCGATTCTCCTAGTTTGGGGCAGTCGGTGTGGGAAATTTAGAGTCGGGTGTGTCTTAACATCTTTTAAAGGTGCGCAAAATAAGGCGGCAGTCCCACTGTCACTACGGCAATTCCAGTGTAGGTTCTGCTCAGACTCGTGTTCGCGGAGCAGAGTTTGCAACTGTGTGTGAAACAAGCATTTTGTTCCTATTACAATTCGAATGACAATTTGCCTTCATTTTTTAGTGCAAGAACGGAACTTACCTCAGAAACAGTAAACGAGGAATGCAATTTTTGATATTTTCGAGGACATGCCTCCATGCAATCCATACTCGTTTTCACCTGAACAACCATAGTAAATAAGAATTTGGTTCTTCACGGGGTGTTACTAATTTCCCCCATTATGTGCAAACGAACATGAGCACACCAGGAATCGGCAACAGTAGTAAACAGAAAAAGCGTACAAACAAATGTTTCGGGTGGTAGCTCACGCCGCCTAGCCAACAGTGGAGGCAGCAGAGAAAGACATGCAGGTCGCTTGCCTCCGCCACCGTCAGCTAGATGGCACGACCCGCCACACGCAACATTTGTCCATTTGCTTTTTCTGTTCTCTACGTCAACAGTCGGTACGCACCGCTGTCACAGTGCCTCGCTCTGAGGATTTTATTGGCTCACTAGGACAGCAGCTTCTACTGTTGGCCAATTTGTGTCGAGATGGCAAGTAGATTAACCTAGAAGGGGCTGGGGGCTGGGAGGGGATTATTTTGTACTAACACAAACGACCCAGCATGAACACACTATTATAACTTTTTCACACTTTACTCGTATAGTATTATAAAAAAAAAAAATTTCCTTCTAAATTGCTGTTTAATAGTGAATTCCACTGGTCATTTGGAGTGCGCCGGGATCGACATTTTTGGAGCGAGCCTATTTCACTGGGCGATCGGGATCGAGACGGACGTGTTCCACTGGTCGTTTAGGATTAGCTCCCGCTCCAGATCTCGATCTGGATCCGAGAAAAGTCTCTTCGACGATTTCGGCGGATTCAACTGGAAGCTAGCCGGGCCAGCCCTCGGCGCACACACGTGACTTCCTTTCTCGCGGGGGCATCTTGCCTGATCTCGCCCATCTCGCCTCAGAACAAGGAGGTTAGAAGTACTAGGAGGGGGCACGTTGCAATATTGGTGAAGCCTAGTCGTAAAAAGTTTAAACAATGTTGTGGCCAACGTGACCGTAGATCTCTCTGGCAATTGGTGCGCGGGACATGTCACGTGTGAGATGGATGGTTGATTGTAGAAGGACTCCTTGCAGGCTTGCACGCGCTCCGTCCGGTAGGTTTTATCAGATCAAAGGCTTGACTGTGGTATATTCTAGTACCCCATAGCTAGACGAAGGCTAGCTACGGTCATGTGATGTGGTCATGTTGGCCTGGTAAGTGAGGAGAGTAAGGGGGAAAATGAGAAAGAGGCGAGGCGTCGAGGGAGCACGGCCTGTGGAGGCTACGCGGTGTTGGCTGGAGTCATGCCCTCTCCTACACTTCCATCCTCCTTGCCTCAGAAGAATTCATAATGGCCGCTTGCTTACCCCTTGGCTCGACAGCCGGTTCGTTTTCCACGAAGGAGAAGGTTTTGCCGCGCTACGGGCATTCTGGCGATCTTTGCTAGAAGCTCCTGAGCCATTCCTGCCGCTCGTGCCTCAAACACGTGTTAGTGCCGCGATTGCGAAAGCGTCTTCGAAACGACTGCGGCAACCGCGGAAAGGAGATTCCCGGGCAGTTGAATGACGGGAAGGCATCCGCTGATCCCGGAGCAGTGGTCATGTTCCACTGGGGATCCGTAGGCAGCGCAACCCCGTTCGGATCGTGCGTTCCATTCCGGATCTACGTCAATTGATCCCGGCGCGCTCCAAAACGCCCAGTGGAATTTGCCATTAGACTATAAAGGTTTCACTAGAAGAGTAATTTTAAAGATGGCATTTCTGTTGTGAGTGAAAAACAAAAAACTGGCCAATGCGTGTTTGTGTTAACCACATTGCGCTCGATACATAACCTTCTCGGACAATTGAAAACATTGTCAATCTTCCTAAGTAGTACCTTGAACGTGCCGGGTGCTCCCGTGTGCGATTGATGAGACGATGAAACTCATGACGAGTCGTGGCACGACAGGAAGGTGACGACGGAGTCAGCCACGGGCAGCACCGGCAGCAACCGGGTGCGCACCACGCTGGTCATTCGCATCGAGACCATCGACTTCGACACCCAGGCATGCATGCTCAGGGTCAAAGGACGCAACATCGTCGAGAACCAGTACGTGAAGGTGGGTTGCCCTGCACATTCTCTCGACAACCAGTCACTCACTCGCAATGTGAATGTTCCTTTTACACGGAAGATGGGTGCATACCACACTTTGGACCTGGAGATGAACCGCAAGTTCACCCTCGCCAAACGGGTGTGGGACAGCGTCCACTTGGAGCGACTTGGTAAGAACCCGTCTGGTACCTCTTCACTGTTCTACTGGCTCTATGCCTTGAGCAATTATAAACTCCACAATAGGTATTTTTTTTTTTTTTAAATTATGGATTTTCTGGCAGAACGATTGCACTAGCCATTTCGTCAAAGCACCTCCGGAGGCTGCCAGTTTCAAGAACGGCATCCTTTCAAACATTGAGCAGATGCAAGTTGCATTAGTAGCTGGCATTGCTTAGTTCTGTCCAAAATCGCTCGTGTACCAAATGTTTCGGTAGTTTTGCCGATGGCATCTTTCACGAAAAGTCAATTCTTTCCATTTAAATAAAACAAAAAAAAAATGGTTGGCTTTTTTAGTAGCTATGCTATTAGAACATTTGAAGAGTAGTAGTTAGCTCACCTGCCCTCTTGCTGTCCGCCTAATACAATACAAAGGCGTCGCAATGTTTGAACGAAACTTTGAGTTCTCCAGGTGTTCCGTTGATGGCAATAACTCAAATGCCAGTTAAAAGTCGACCAAGCTGCTCGTGCCAAAAGATATTCAAGCAGTCTGGAGCAAGCATTGATTTCTCTATTGCCCGGTTGGGATTGGTATTTTCTCGAGTGCCCCATTTGAGGCACTCGAGGGACAAAAGCCCATTAGGAGTATGGAGTGTGCTGTAAGGACACCGTACTGAAAATCCCCGATGTTAAGACTGTGTTCTGTTTGTTTCCCTTTGTCCCCTCGCCTCCGGGGTTTTACAGTATGATCGCTCTCCAGCTCGCCTGCACAACCACCCTTATTGCTGTAAGGGCACCCCTTCCAGTGAAATCAATCCTTTTTTCAAAGTTGGCAAGTGTCAGCAGACTCTGTCAGTTGACAATCTTTTTCTGCCTTTCTGTATGTGCATATATCACGAGTTCTAGGAATAGCCCACACAGCTACTCCAGGGGTTTATCCAGGATTGGCAATCTGGGCGTTTGTCACAAGTTTCCAGCATGGGCTTGGGGGGCTGAATCCTCCTCCGATCAGGAAAGATAGTCAAGAAAAAAACATAAAACTAGTTTATTATATCGGCAGTTCTATTAATAAAAAAATATATATATATATTATTTAGACCGGAGAAACGCTTGGTACCACATTGAGTACCTCAGGTCTTTAGGATGGGGAAGTCTCGAAAGCAGTTCCTGTTTTGCAAGCAATGAAATGTATAAAAGTATAAAGAAATGTTTCCATTATAACCTGGATTTCTGCATTTCATCTGGAGCTTGCTTCGTGTTCTGGAAAGTTCTTGTACATGTCAAAGCAAACCTTGTTTGCCAACATAAAAACCCTACGTTTTTTTTTGTTGTTTATGGTTGGTTGGAACACTTTTTTTTTTTTCTTATCTATGCTCTTTTTCCATTTCGTAATTGCGCACCTTGTCATCATTACGAGCGACGCTGCTGAGGTCCTTCCCGTCATTTCCTCGTAGCTCGGCTGTTTGGTTGCAGATTCTCCTGTCCTGTTGGACATAACTGTGCCAGATTTAAATCTGCTAACTTCAAATCGGTCCGTAACCGCTTATATGTTTTCTTCCGTCTGAACTCTTTCTAAGAGACGCTTTACGATGGCCCTACAATGTTCGAGTTCCTTTGTGTCACAGTCGAGAATGGTTGTTTTCCCGTGTAGATCACAAAGTCAAGAACAAGCCCCTCAGCTGTAGCTTGGCTAAATTTCTTCTAACGAACGGGGTTTGGCTTACTGGTAAAGTACTAATGAGCAGGACGCCACCCTCTGAACAGCATCATCTGCTCGTCAGTGGAAAGTTTTTGAGGCTGCGGAAGCTCCAGACAAGCTTTTCAGAAGGACTCACAAATGGGCTCCATCCTAAACAACTCGCCGTCCGGGCTTCCCAGATTGTTGCCCCGTCGACAAGATGCAACATGCCGCTCTTCCTGAGAAATCGGTTGCATACCATGTTCTCAGTCCAAATACGACCAGCTCGCTCTTGGAAGCTCGAGGAGGCTCGTGATCATGCGGATACCGACCAGTTTCTGCAGCTCTGTCGACGTTGTCTTCACCGACCCGTGAGCTCGCACCAGGATGGAAGAGGGATTTGTCTGTTGTGCAGCGAGTTTCCAAAAGCCCCCCGGAAGATATTTTTTCAAGTAGCTGAAAGGTAAATCAGGTGTGGAGAAAGAGGACATTGGATAGTTCCAGACAAAAGGATTGTTTTATTTGAATTCATACGATGCCGCTCTTTGGAGGGACTGACGCTTTGTCTTTGCTTCTGGGTACAATGTTTGTGGAGCTTCTGTGTCGGTGTTGGTACTTTGGGCCAAATCCTCGCCGTTGTCGTGGGGATAGTCCCCGGTTTCGTCATCGTCGGACGGCTCCACGTCACCCTCGTCTACCAACTGTGGTATTTCCTCGTCTGTTGGGTTGTTTTCGTACGCAGGATATATTCTAATAGAGCAAACGTGCGCACACTGAGCGTACTATATATTTTTCTTGTGTGGACTCGTGACTCCTAGTACCCAATTCCCAGTACTCGTAGTTCCCGATAATATATCCTAACAATCTAAAACAATAAAGTATGTTGGGTGCAACAAATCTTTATAAACCTTGGCTATATACCCTTATGAAGCTTTCTCAAATCAACTAAAGACACATTTACAAACAATTGCAGAGGTACAGTAACTTGAACTTTAACCTCATGGCAACGTGTGCTTCCACTGCTGGAGCTCACCACGTTTAAAAGTCCCGACAAGCCGGAGCAGCATCGTTTGCGCCATCTCGTTGCAGTTTGGCGAACTGATAAATGCCCAACCGGGTGCTTTCGGTCCCATGTCTATTTTATTTACAACAAGCTGGTAGTGAGGGCTTTCCAAAGGAACTCAATTGGGTGCCACAGCACTACAGAGGGTTATACCATAGGTTTGTGTACTTTGTCCATTAAATTGGGGAGGGGGGGCGGCAGGGGGGGGGGGGGGGGGGGGTGGCATTTGGTGTTGTGTTGTACAGTAGGCTGTCATTAACTCAAACTCCAGGAAACAACAAATTTTGTGTAAATTATCAGAAGTTTGAATTATCAGAAATTCATGTAAATTTGATGCAAGATAAAATGGATATTTGCCATATGAATGGCTATGCGTACAAGGCAGACATTTGATGATTTCCTCCACATAGGCCTCCTGATCAGGCAGGCAGGCATGCCACACAAGAAACGTGTGAAATCTGTAACAAAAGTTTATTTATCCCTCAAAAATGTTGTTTACCGTGGACTCTTTAGACAGCACACAACAACTCAAAACAAAATTAAGGTCATTATGCGAAGGTCTAACGTGAACTATTAAGCAGGGGACGCACGAGCGATGAAAACGGGCACCGTGCGGCAGTTTTCATAGCAACTTGCACGAACGCTGTGACGTGGACTCATGCCATGCTGCCACGTCACAGCGTCCGCGCGAAGTTGCTATGGAAATTTCTGCACTATGCCCGTTTTCATGGCTCACGGTGCCCTCGTTGAGCCTTGTCGAGTGCGCTTTTCACCGAGCACTGGTTCACTGCGGAGGAGCAACAGTCGATGAAGCAAGCTTCAAGGGTGTTGCTTCTCTGCAGTGCACTGGTGCTCAGAAAGAAGCGCACTCAATGGGGCCGCGGGAACAAGAAGTTTAAATTACACAAAAACGCCGTTGGAATTAGGTGGCCAATCAATACATGAAAACCATAGTGGGGCAACCAAAATTTTGAAATTTGTTTCATTTTACCAGAAGTATGAAGTATCCAAGTTTGAATTATCACAATCCTACTGTTCATCGTTAAACTTAGCCTAGGAGGCTGTTAAAGCTGTGTGTATAAAGCTGGCCTACTCTATCGCAGGGCATGGGAACAGCCAATCCCTGCCCGTTATGGAAAGAGTGCAGCGAATGGCGAGGTACTTCTGGCAAATACAACACAAGTCTAATTTTAGAGCCAAAAGACTCGATGCATTGCCACTCACTCTTTTTTTATAAATGACAACGATAGGCTTCCACCTGCCCCGTGGGAAAGTAGACACACAAAAAGTTTGCACTGTCTGTTAGGTTTTGAGGCAGTTGCTAAGCATTATCAGGTACACATGTCGCGTGCGACATACCAGTGATGACCCTGTCGGGCACTTGCTACTCCTCTGCCCAGACCTGGCCTGCGACCCGACCCAGCATGCGGACGTGGCTGCGGTGGTGATGCAGGAGGGCCTGGCGCATGTCTGCCTGGTGACGTCCGCCATGACGCTGGTGCGCGCCAAGATCGACATCAGCATCCCCAGGAAGCGCAAGGGCAGCTGCTCACAGCACGACAAGGCAAGGACTGCGCTCTGTCGATTGTAATGCGTAAAACCCGGGTCATTCAAGAGACGCGGGAAGGAAGACATTTCAAACTCGGCTAACTCGCTCATTTCTCTCGCTTCTTATAGAGCCAAGGTGCTGTCGTCAGCGGCCTTTTTCTGGGACGCTGCCTTTGTTAACAAACCAAAGAAAAGCAAATCATGAACTTTCGAAGCTACGACCTTTAGACCTGCGCCGTGTTTCAATTAAACTGCACACCTTTGTTAACAAACCAAAGAAAGAAAATTATGAACTTTAGAAGCTATGACCTTTAGACCTGCGCCGTGTTTCAATTAAACTGCACAACCCACTCTCACAAAAAAGAAATGTGCACACACTTAGTTTTTTTTTGAGAACGAACTACATACTACAACACCAGTACAGTTGTCCGCCGTGGGATTGTGTAGGAATGCAATGAATTTGAGTTTTACTCTGGATCGTTTCAGGCACTTTGGTTCTATGAAAAAGAAGTGTTTTTCTTGGAGAGGGGATTTGTGTCTAGCTGAATTCTGAGTTGGTTGTGGGCATATCCCTATTCCAGTGATCTGATTGCTGCACAGAACCGCATCAAAAGGCTTACCCTACCACATCCTGCTACATCTAACCAAGATAAGAGGAATTTGCAGCAGCATTGCACCAAAACTTGATTTTTATTAATGCAGTCAAATCTCGATAGAACGAATTTCATCGGACTCGCAAAAATCATTCGTTATTCTGAAATCATCTTTATAGTGAAAAACTCGTAAATTGTAATTATATCTGAGGGAAGATGACCTACCTTTGCAATAGGAATATCCGGACGCTCGGTTTTATCCGAAACACAAAACAAAAAATGCTCCATGTAATTGAACACTACACATTTATTGAAAGAAATCAGAAAACTTCTGATAGGTCTAGCACAACGCTACAGGGAGAACGATTTGATGTCGTCCACCTTGTTGACGGCTGCGGTCATACTGGCACCGCTCACGCGATTGAACACTGCACAGTTGCTGGAAGAAATCCGAAATCTTCTTCTGGTAGGTGTAGCAAAAACGCTCAGGACGAACGATTCGATGTCGTCCACCTTCCTGTGGACGGTCGCACTAGCACACCTTCCAAGAAATATGCGCAACTTCCTGATGGCACTAAGGGCATCGGAGTTGGAGACGATTCTTCCTGCTGATCCATGACCGTTGCCTCCTCGTCTTCATCGTTCGGGTTCTCCTCGTCGTTGCAGTTGTTCTGCTCACGAACGCTGTTTAGGATGTCGTCAGTCATCAATTCTGCGAGCAGCACACCTTGCGTCCGGAGCAGTCAGCGTGAAGGAGAGGTCTGGCAGGAATGTGAAGTTAGGTGAATAGGGTTAGGATTTGTTTCCCGGCTCGATCTTTGATGATGATGATGGTTGGGCGTTGCGGGAGCCGTCAAGCAGCCAAAATGCGCGTCTTTCTGTAGTTTAAAATTATTTTCGCCATCCATCGTTTCTTTCGGCCGTTTTTTTGCAATATAAATTCGTAATAGTGAAGTGTTGTTGGCATATAAGAGCTAGGACGCATTTACGTTGCCACCGCAGAAGATGGCATCCGGTTTTCACATGTGTATGCAGTTTGTCCAGACCAACGTCACGTTCCGCGTTACCACTGCCTTTGCCAGGCTATACGACAAAGGGGCGACCCTTTTGTAACGGTGGAGAATTGAATCAAAATATTCAGGGACAACCTGGGAAGGTCGGGATTTAAGAGAAGCAATTTAGTAGACACGCTGGAGCAGTATTTCTTTATTTTTTTCCGTTTTTATGTAGTAGCTGGGCTGTAAATGGGCTTGGACGCAAGTTATCATGTGTTGAACCGCATCCATTGAGCTCCAATTTTTCCGCTTGCAGGGTCTTCAACGCTTCTATGAGGCGGTGATGCAAGCCATCCTTCGTCATGTCAACTTTGATGGTGAGCACAATACTTGCAATTTTATTTTTTCCGGTCACGTTTAATTGCTTCGAACACCGTGCATTTCTTTATTGCAGTTATCAAGTGCGTGCTGATTGCGAGCCCTGGTTTTGTCAAGGTGATAAAGGTTTTCTTTATATTTTACTTTTTTTTTTATTTAGGATTTTATTTACTCGCTCGTTTCATCTGCTGTATCTACTTTACGGAATGTTGGTGGACTTTGAAATAGAGCTTACGCATTTATTTTCCTGTGAGAAGATGGAAGTGCTTGTGTGTTCAAAATCGAAACGCAGATCAAATTTTTGATTCCGACATGTTCTGTGTTGTCATTAACTTGTCCACTACAACGAGGCACTTGATTAATTCTCCATGCTCCTCTCAAGAAATTGTACAGGTGGGCTTTGCTCCATTACTGCATGCGTTTGCTCGTAAACACGATAATAAAGCAATCATCTATAATAGAAGAATTTTGAAACTGGCAATGTCCAGTGTCAAAATCAAGTTCAAAATATATATCTTGCTTGTCTCGGCCTTACCGATATTTGCACATTCGTGGCGTTTGTTCATCTCGTAGTACAGCACCGTATAATGGTTTGCATCTTGCAATGTCACAAACGTACACATTACTTAATCCTATGCATCGCTAATGATATGTCAAAAGCGTACAATTTTCGGTACACCTGTGCTTCAAAGGGGCACTTTCGCGATATTTATGTATAAATTAGAGTTTAGAACTAGAATTACAAGTAGGGTTCCGTGTTTTCGGATAATTTTGAAAAAAACTCGGAAAAGCACTTGCCAGTAAATTTTTTGTCACTTTAAATTTATCCAAAAGACTCGAAATTTTTAAGTCTCGAAAGAAAATAAAAAAGCAAAAAAGATGTTGTACAAATTAACTTTGTAAGGGCACGGTGGCAGTGGTGCTGGAAAGATGTTGTACAAATTAACTTTGTAAGAGCACGGTGGCAGTGGTGCTGGGGAGATGCGACTTCAGCTTCCATTGAAATCTAAAACTATGGACAAAAGGTGGTGTGCCTTTTAGCGCGTCTTTGTTTATTGGGGACAGCGGGTCGTAGTACCCGGAGTTTGTTTATTTTGTTTTTGAAATTTTAAACGACAAGAACACCGTAAAGTAAACTTTGAATTTTGAAGAATTGGGAATGTTACAAAGATAAACTTCGATAAACCCCGAATTTTCGGTAAACAATGAACTCCGAAAACACAAAATCCTGCTTGCAAGGTGAGGACGGCAGGGAGGAGCTTCGATTGTCCCGCCCACGTCGCGAGCTTCCAGCCTTCGACGGCAATTCGGCGTCTCATGCACCCCGAGCACGGCATGTGTGCCGGAGGCTCCACGTTCGAAAGATGCGCCCTGCTTTTCTCACTTCGTTGGCAACTGCATACTCCCTCTTTCCTGTGGCGACACGCGCAGAAAAAGACAATGCGCGCGTCTTCCTCTCGTACGTCTCGACGACACGCGTGTCGCTTAACGCGTCGTCAAGCAAACTGCGACAGAGGCAGTTGGCGCTTGTACCAAGCGATCCAATCCACGCTTGTCGGAACTCGGGGAAGTGACGTGTTCCCGGACGGGTTGTGACGCAGGACCAGTTCTACGAGTACGTGTTTCAGGCTGCGGTCAAGCTGGACCTCAAGGTTCTCCTCGAGAACAAGGGCAAGTTTGTGCTGGCCCACGCGTCGTCGGGGTTCAAGCACTCGCTCAGAGGTGGGCATCGCAATCCCTGCTAGGGGTTCCGGGTGGCATGAACTCGCCACTAGACTTTCATTCTTTCTAACTCAAGGACGCAATGGACGTTTGTTTGGGTTATCGGAAGCGGGCGTTACGGTCGTGTCCCGTTGATACAGAGCCCGTTAATGCAGATGCCTTGCAATGTGGATTGAGATTTAGGGGACGAACTGGGCAAGGTACTTGCATGTTTTTCTTATTACGGACAGCTTACATTATGGACAGTTTTTCCTTTCAACCAGAGGCATCCTTATTAACGAGACATCACCGTTTTTGGAATGCAAAATGAGCTTACACTTGCAGTACAATCATGTGTCGTTTATGTGGACCCCGTTAATAGGGATACCCCTCTATATGGACACTACTATCGGGGACAAACTGTAAAAATACATGCATTTTTGTCTTGTTATTATAGAAAACTCACATTATGGACGATTTTTTACGGGAACGGAGGTGTCCATATTAACGAGACATCACTGTACTAAACCACGCCGTCTTGAGGCATGAAATGCTTTTTAACAAACTCCCAATCTCAAAATTTTGTCCGTGCGTCCATCCGTGCATTTCTCAAGAACTCGTGTCACTAGACCTACAGACAAATTCAGTTACCCCGCTAGATTTAGCGGGAAAATTGATGTTACGTTACCTGAGGTCACGAGACCTATAGACCAACACGCGGCCCTGACGTCACGCAGCTGCAATGGCACTGTCGACGGCACTGCGTGTGCGCAGACGCTTCACTCCTCCCGAATTCGGTTTGTGCGCACGCGCAGTGCCCACACCTGGTGTGGGCAAACACGGGCTTGTTTGTAAACAGGGTGTCGGTCTATATGTAAATTCAGTTTCTCTGCTAAATTTAGCACATAAAATTGATGCAATCCGACTTGATGTAGCACCAATTTCGTTTCCCTCTATACTCCTTTTCACCTCAAGAAAAAAGGAAGTTTTGCGCATTGTTCATACACCGCGAGAAATAGGTCCTATAAGATTTGGTTCTTTGAGGAAGAAGCAATGCTTTTGGCATTTGAAAGGTGTACGGCTTGATAAGATATCAGCTATCTAATCTGCAATGCTCCTACATATATCTTAATGTTCTACATGAAAAGAAAAATTAGTAATGTTCCGCGAAGAGCCGGACTTTTTTTTACTATGGTTCTTGAGGTAAAAACGAGTATAGCTTTATCGGGAGAGTTGATGTCGCGTGACCTTTGCTCCAAGTCAGTTTCCCTGTTAAATTTAGCGGGGACCTTCTAAAAAAAGAATTAGGTTCTGAAACAACTGTTTAATGTCTTCTGAACAAATCTAAACGATCAATCCTCAAATACTGTAATTCATGCGTTACACTATATCCCCTTTAAAGTAAACTTGTTGGGACTGAGCATTAATATTACTATATTAGAAGTTTTACTATTCGCGACTCCAGCAAAACGGACGCCACCAAGCGGGAAAACCGGGAACCAGCCGGAACAGGTCGCTTTGTGCCCCTCCGCGTCTCTGGCGGCTTTCGCAGACACGTGTTGTCGGTGCGGTGGCGAACAATGTAATTTGCTGAAGGTCCGAAAATTTTGTAAGTTTACCTGAGTGTTCATTAGTGGGGTGAAGACTCAGTAGATTGTTTCCTTCCATCACGTGTTTGAAAGCCCGTTTACTCCACGATACACGGTCGCGTGCTTTTGATTTCTTGGATGGGGAGGAATCGCGAAAAAACGTTTTGATTTCTTATCTGTCTTGAATCACATTCAAAGTGATGACCACTTGGTAACTGATAAGTGGTTTCTTTATAAGGATGTAGAACAATAGACATGAGGACGATAGACGAGGTGTTTCACTGGAGGGAAGGCCAATGTTGCAGTCAAGTGAATGGGAAAGTTCGATAGCTGCTTTCGTTGAGTTTGGTTGTGTTGATTAGCTTCTAGTTTGAGCCACCCACGCCGGTTGGTGCATTGGCTATTTATCTTGGCTGCCTTTCGCCAAAAAACCTCTGGACCACACCGAAGGAGTTCGGGTGATTTCGCAATTACTTGATTCCGGAAAACCTGCTTGCTGCATACGATTAATGAGGGAAATTGTCTGCTTTCAAAAGCTGGGGGACGCATCTCGCCAAGTTAGAAGCTGTCACGGCATTATGATCTATCGCGTCCTCCAATATTTATATTATACCCCCGTCGAAGCCGGCAGCAATATACGTCTACATTGCTCAGGTTGACCGGGCACAAAAAAATACTCATTTTCTCTGTTCAGGTTTCGAAGTCAAGTTCAATGCAGAGAGGTTCTGCGTGAATCTCCGATGAAGACTCTCTTCAGTTTGTTTGTATTCGTCTCTGTGTGACCGGCTAGAACCATTTGGCTGAGTTTAAGTAGTATCTCTGTCTGACAAATACACTTTTATTCAGCAGTACACTAGCTAGTCAACTAAGCTCGTATTTCAACCCGAAGAATATACTGATATTGCTTTAGTGGGACATAGTAGTACATAATATAATACATAACCCGCTTGTCAAAATGACTTCTCGATTGCTACTAAAACTTGAATTGAAATACGAGTATCAGCTGCTTAGTGGGGTGCCAGCAGGTTAACATGCTCCTTGGCTCAAGAAGCACTTGCTTAATTTTTGTAATCTTCCTGCAGCCTGTGTTGTTGACCGAGCAGACGACTGGAGCTGTTTGTTAAACGCGTATACGCACAAAAGGTTGATTTTGCAGACAGATAAGTCGCATGGTTCAGGCATGCGAGTTAGCTGAAGATTACTCTCGGTGGAACAGTTTTGTAGTCATCGCCGTTTTTTTTAGCTGACCAAAACTGATTAGAGTCTATTACCGTCTCTCCAAAGCCCATATTTTCGATTTTGAACAAAATCTCCGACACGAAACCTTGACATGAAAAGAACAAAAAACATTGGGAAAACAAAACTATGCTCTGCAAGTTTATATGCACCGGCCACACTTAACCGTCGCAGTTCAAATACCTATGAAATTGGGCACTGAACAAAATAAAATCTGTTAAATCGAATGCACCACCCGTTCAGGCGGCCCGGCCGAGCCGACGCGATCTGGACCCAGCTGCCATGTTTGTTTGGTGGTGGCGCCCCCTATAGGTCGCTGGAGTCGCGAATATCAGGAGCACCTTAAAATTTCTTATTGCAGCTAACAAAAGGTAATGGAAATGAATAAAATGTTTATTAATCCCAAAACAAACACCACAACTATAAAAATGTCACTTACGTTGCAGTAAACAGCTGGTTTGTAGGTGCTTTGCACTCCACAAGGAAGCTCTTGAGGCTCGTCATATGGGCATAGTGTTGCCCGTTAGCATTTCCTGCATTTAGAGTGCTCCCAACCGTCCAAACCCAACAAGAGCACATCTTGTTGGATTCAGTTTCTTCAACACTTGCTCGGTTCATGAATCAACGGATGCGTCAGAAACGGCGCCTTTGTCGCCCGTCTTCCTATGAAAACTAGGACAGTTCCTCACCTTGAAATGTTCGGTCTATCCGTTTGATGCCTCCAAGTCTTTTTCTCTCGTAACAGGTTCGTTGACTGGCACATTTGCAGCGCAGGCTTGTCGAAACCCTTGAAGCAGCTCTGTGCCGACATTCTCCTTTTTGGAGCTTGAGAATATTTCGCAGCTTCCACTGTTTCCTTCGGCAACTATGTCCTCAATAAGTTTCCTGTTTTCCAGCAAGGCCAACACTGTTACCACAAAAACGCCGAATTCAATTGCGATTTGCTTTTGTGTTTGGTCGTTACCTCCTTTTTGATCGGGCGTAGTTCAAGTATGATGCGGATCGGTCATGATGCGCAGTTCAGTCCCAAACACTCCGAAAGAGCCGCACCTTTTCAGTTTTGTTAGGCCTGTTGTATTGATATGGCAGACGATCCCAGGCCACCGAGAATGGAAACAGTCACGAGCGACCGCAGCACCGCTCAGAAAACTGTCGTCGTACGACGTAGCACTGTAGCCTGTAGCGCTTTGGTAGTTAATGTACACTTTTAGAATTTCTAAGAGCTGATCTCACCGAGAAATTGTGCTGTTGCAGGTAAATAACATTTCGTCAGCACTGCTGTGTTTTACTATAACCAATATTCCGAGTGTTGACGACTTACTATATCAGAATCTTGAGCCATCAAGGACACGGGAGTTCAGTCGATACTGACGCTTCCTTTTACTATAATCGGAGTTTTACTCTATGCGGAATTACTCTACCAGGGTTCTACTGTTTAGAACTTTGCAGATGAAGGTTGCTGTAAATTTTTTTCTTAAACCCCAAATCCACTTGTCATTGCACTTAAGGCGTTTAAAAGATCGGCCTTTTCTCTCGTGATCGGTGCACTTTCTGGCATGTTAGAGCTTCATACTCTCTTTAGCGCCAAGCGAAGTGCTTTTTTGAGCTGTTGGTGCACCACCTCTCTGAGCCTTTTTCTGTCCGGTGCGAATGTGCTTGCTTTCTCTCCAAGCTTGTTCTTGACTTTCATAATCATTGTTAGCGTGGTTTTGGTGTTGCCATATTTCAATGGCACTGCAGTTTTTTTCACGCCGATGTTTCCTTCCCGGAGAGCGCTTTATAGTAAGTAGTTGCCCCACAAAAACATTCTGGCGATCAAGAAGAGAGGAAAGTAAGAGCAAACTTAGCTGTCTTATTGCATTTAGGTCTAGGGCCGACACGGCGACGACACAATAGGAGATTCTATAACCTATTCAATAATGAAATGGGAATTGTCTGGATGAACAGTGCTAGCGGATGCAGAGCCCCAGCCACTACTTGGTGCCGTTGACTCGCTCACGCTAGAAACCTTGGGACATGGGACTTTTTGGGAACGTCTGCAGCTGAAAGAGGTTGCCATGTTGCTCGCAGAAATCCTCCAGGATCCTGGAGTGCAGTCCAAGCTGTCGGACACCAAGGCAGCCGGAGAGGTGAAGGCCCTAGACCAGTTCTACCAGGTGCTGCAGAACGAGCCCAGCCGTGCATTCTACGGGACAAAGCACGTGGAGCGGGCGAACGAGGGACAGGCCATCGAGACCCTGCTCATCTCTGACAAGCTCTTCAGGTGATGGCATGGCTCTGCGCGTGGTACAAGGAAGTTCTAGTACAATGCCCGTAACGCGTCCAATTGGTTCGTCGGCTGCGTCCTCGTTTGCGGTCCCTCGATTTCTGCCCGACGACATTGCACTCGTGTCGTGACAATTTTGGCGGCAGCGGAGGTGGCGACAGTGGCGTCCTGTTCTACCGTAGGTCTCGCTCTAGCTCGACAGTTCGCAGAAGCTTCGGCAGCCAGGAAGGAGTTAGACACCGCAACAAAAGCGACGCTTGCGTCCATTCTTTTTTTTGCTGGAGTTTGCGCGATTAATTGTGAGGATTGTGGCGTCCAAACGTCACGACGTGCTGGCTCCTGCGACGCAGTTTGTCGCCACTTGGGGACTGCTCAATGCACGGGTGGCGCGGGACGCCAAACGTGCCTGTCGAAGATCCGTTCCAGGAGTGTTGAGACCGGTCATAACAAAGTCAGTTATATTGAAATAGCGGATATAACGAAGTGATTTCCGATTCCCGTCGACTTCGTTATAACTGGTCTCGACCGTAGTGGTTCGGTGGTGCAGTCGACGTGGTCTGGGCTTGAAGGTTGCTGACTGAGACCATTTGCACACTCGCCGCTCACCTCAGGTGCCAAGACGTGGCGCAGAGGAAGCGGTACGTCGCCCTGGTGGACTCGGTTCGAGACAACGGCGGAGACGTAAAGATCTTCTCCAGCCTACACATTTCAGGAGAGCGTGAGTGGTCCTTTACAGTACTCCTTGGTTTGCTCGTACTTAATGGGTTTTTGATGGGTGGGGAAATGTATGGCGGTGTACGCGGGGAGAACTTTGTGTCGCAATGGTGTTGTACGTGTGGGCGCTCATGCACCTTAAGAGCCGCGTGTTCTTCATTTCTGAATTGCTGCGCAACTTCTCCCAGCGAGTATAAAATTATTGACGCTTCTAATGATAATGTCGGTACTTGAATTTAAACAACATCCTTCGTGGCTTGCCAACATATATCATCGGTAATATTTAGATACTTGCAAATATCGGTGCAGTTGAATGTCGTTAAAATAAAGCAGCATTGGGAGAGAAAATCTGTTAATTACACACCGGCCATAAACTTCCGGTTTTAACCGAAAATATTGATAAACGTCCGTCGGCGTCAAGAACACAAAATCGTTTAAAACAGAACACCGATTTCTGGAAAGTTTTTCTTCTAGGGAGGACTGTTTTCGTCGAGACTATCTTAGACGTTTCTCAGGAGCATGCTCTCGCAGATGCATTAAAATGGAGATGTGGACTAGCTGGTACATGATTCTTTAAAATGTATGTGCCGTCAAACGGGAACAAAAGGAGAGGCGCACAACAATAAGCGCTTCATGTTGTGTGTTTCTTCTTTTGTCTCTGTTCTGCGGTACATGTTGTTTAAAAAATCTTAAGGTTGGTTCACACACTTGCATTTGACTACAACTGAATATGCCACATCGGTTTTAGACCTCTTGTGACCTCTTACAACCAGTTACACAGCAGAGCAGCCAGTTGTAAGCAGTCGCAAGACGCTTAAGAACTGGTTGCAAAACATTTGGCGTAGTGAAACGCAGGGTGGGAACCAGTTTTTGCCGAGAATCATGCGTCCTACCTGTCCTGAATCAGTGGAATTACTCACCTTGTAGGACAGTGGCACGATAGTTGGGTCACTTAGCCAGTCACTATGAATTCTCACAATGGCTTTCTTCTATTATTCTTCTAACTGAACAACGGTGTTAAAACCTCATTGGCGGTTGAACCTTGATAAAAAAGCAGCATGCCTTCCTCATATGGTGAAAACATTTTGCCTGAAAAAAATTTAATTTTTTATGCCACCTGGAGCAGAATGGTCACATGATACAAACAAAAGGCTCATAATGATTGTTAAAGAGCACTCTGACATTGGCCCATGTTTGGACCCATTGTCCGTGGTCTGCAAGTACTGTCAGCTTATGATATAACTGTAAAGCATCGTAAGAACATATAAGAATTGTAAAAGAAATTTGAACTCTTAGTTCATTAAGAGTCTCTTTCACTATTAATAAAAAAATATTAACAACCATACAACACAAATTGCTAAGAAACAGTGATCTTTGAAAAATACATGAACACCAAGACACAGCCAGTTTTTGTTATGTAGATAAACATGGGAAAATCCATGACCTAGATATATTTAATACTTTGTAAACAAAAATAGACACGGAAATTAACACAAACATGCAGTTGGGCTTGCGAAGGAGGTGCTCGAACATGCCCAATGCAATGTAGCATATATCAAAATATGGTATTACAGTGGCTTAAAGCGGGTAGCGTAACGAACGAAACCGGAGAAGCGGCACAGCGTTGGAAGACGGCCGCGGGTGGCGCTGGCGCTTCCAGCACCGTCGTTCCGGCTATGGCTCCGGCTTGGCCGCTTGGTCAGCTTGGCTCCGGTCAGTTCCTGCCGATTCGCAGCTGTCGACTACACTGTCGTCTGCTAGTTTCGCATTTTTTATTCACCTTCAAACTCAAATCATGTCGTTGGAAGTTCACTGGAAACAAATAATTGTTTTTGATGTATTTATATTAGTTAGAAGCGTGTTAGGGTGCCTCTATCTGCCGGCCGATTGAGGCACCCAACGGAGCTGCGGATTGAAGCGCCACCTACATCGTCTTCCAAGGATTGGCCGTTCCCGATGCATGGTGGAGGCTACGCGATAACCACACTACCCCCTTTAAAGGGGCGATGCAACAAGTTTTGTATTTTGCGGAAATAGCGCTTAGAGCGGATCCCTGACGTTAATGACCCGTGAAATACCCATTCGTTTTTCACCACGCGCAATCGAAGTCGCAGAAAAAAAAATAAAGAAAAACAAGCAGAGTTCACCTCCTCAACTCGCAGCCAGAACAAGCGGCCACGTGATATGGAGCGGATTATATGCCGCCAATGTTGACCATTGCCATGCGCTGGGGTTGGCAAGGCACAGGACACGCGCTGCGTTCCAGACATTGTTATGTTTCGGCTGTTGTCGTCATTGCAGCGATTGGACACAGGACACTACCCGAATGCTTCTCGAGCCATAGATTTTCACGAGCCCAAATCGAGTGCCGACGCAATGCTCGGGTCCAATCTATGAGCCGTATTCAAATATCGTCACTGGGCGGTACTGCTACCGCCCAGCTACGTCATCAGGTTTTGCGAAGGAGAGATTGAATGAAAACGCTCGGTTTTGTCCTCGAAATTACAGTGCAACAAAGGAGTTTCTTGGCCAGGGGCGTTGCGTGCGAGTATCCTTGAGTCCCACTAGTGCCAGTAAGCTCGTGTAAAGTTAAAAACATTCCAATTGAATATCGTTGCACCGCCCCTTTAAGCCACTGTAATGGTATATTGGACCTCAAGCCCCAATACGAACATATACATCTATCATTTCGAGCTCCACTGAGAAGTAGACAGAAACAACATGATGTTTACTTATATCACAAGGAAAAATGTTTGCAGGGCAAAGCAGGTTTGGAATGGGGATTCACAAACATGGCTCATGGTTGTGCTTTAAAGGGATACTGAAGGAAATTTCAGCGCTTCTTTCTTGGACTATTCGTGTTCAAGGGAGCAGTATCACATCAAACACACCAATCTCGTTGAAAGTGAGTGTTCTTCTAGTTAAACCAGCATGTTGGAAGGCCCTCTAATAATGCTTGACTGTGAGCCAAATGCTCCTTATTGTGTGGGTTATTGTTCGCAAGGCCTGGAGGCTTCTAGGTGACTTTATTTGCAGCACTTGTGAAACCGCTATAGGTGTTCCTTGCCCATCAATTAAGAAAGAGTAGTTTTACTCCAGATAAAAGAGCCTAAGAACCCTGGAAGGGTGTGATTTTAGATTTAGATTGCTGGTTCTTCGTTGCATTCAAGAGAACAAACATTCTAGCACTAACCATCAGTATTGCCAATCTAGCGGTTTTCCTTCAAGTTTAGCGGACTTCTGAATTTTCTAGTTAAAAGAATTGCTGTTTTGCAATTTTTAGTAGTTTTCAAGTGATGTTAGCACTTTTTTGGGTGTTTGGAATGTTCTCAAGTTTTCTGTTACAGTCTAAGCTCATTATAACAGACCTTGATTTGGACTAAGATTTTGGTCTGTTGTAAAAGGAGTATGTTGTATGCAGATATGAAATTAAGTCAATGATGCATAAAGACAAACCAGCCGTACTTCACAAATTGGTATGTTATATCCAAATGTCTGTTGTAACCAGGTCTGTTAAAATGAGCTTAGACTGTATCAGTCGTAATCGCTTTATCTGTTCGGTAAGTCGGAGTTGTAGGGCCGTCGTCTTTGCTTACTCTCAGCAAAATTGTCGTCATTGAGATTAAAGCGTGCTACGCCTTTTAGCTATATTACTGTAGCAAACCTCGAAACATGTTTTCAACAAATTTCTTCAGTAATGTATAAGTTTGATTTCCAAGTCGGCCAGATGAAATGGGGCTATATGTTTCTAAACTTACAAGAGTGGTTATTGGAAGTTCCAAGAGTCATTAGACAAGTCGGATGCCTCTACTAGAATGTAAAACTTTTTGGAAAGCATGTGAATTTGCTGGGGCTGTAAACCGCCGCCAAATATATTGCACTAAAGATTTGTAGAATGGAGGTGTACGTCGGCGGATATGGCCAGACAGCACACCTTAATAACACCTGGTAACAGTAAGATCACGCAGTGGACATAGTTCTGTGCAAAGAAGCGATCCGAGTCAACAACCTAGCTTCCTTCTAATGGTACTTTTATTTATTATACTGCTTGCACACTAATAGTAATAAATTGTTCTAGAAAGTCATCCTTATCCTGCACCTCAGGTTTAGCTGCCTTCAAGATTTCTATTGTGGGTCTTGGATCTTTTAGTCTGCAACACTGCTAGCCGTACATGGGAATGCCTTTTCCATTTCACTGGTTTTGACTTTGGGAAATTTATTTCACTAAACAGAACAATGATCTTTTTATCGTTTTTTATTTTTTATTCTTTTCAGAGCTAGACCTGCTGACAGGCATTGCGGCTCTGCTCCGGTATCCGATGCCCGAACTTGAAGACGAAGAGCTGAGCTCTGACGAGGAGGGCTAACAGCTGTGTGCCCTAGGAAGTTTTAATTTAATTACCGCTATTGTTGTTACGAGGAACGGTGTACATACACGACGACTGTCATCTAAATTATTGAGAGCTGCGGAGAAATGGCGGGCAATTTTTCCAGCATCAAATGCTTCCACCGAATACTTTTACTACCATTTTAGGATTAGCCCAATTATGCTAGGAAGTATGGAATAATATCCATTCATTTTGTAATGTAATGCTAATATATTTGCATATTCTGCATTTGATTCTGGAGTTTAAAAGTGTCCGAAAACGATTGCTAAACTATGCACGACGAGTAAAAGCTCAGGCTAATGAAGCTGCGCGAGAGGCGAAAATTGCTCGAAGCATTCCCTTTTTGAGGATATATAAACATGTACCACTTTTGCCCGTTTTATTGGTTGAATTCATTTTTGAGGGGATTTTGTCAAGAACAGTGATGTGATTGCTGTGCCATTTTCGCCAAAGGGGTTACTACATCCTCCTAAATTTTACCAAAATGTGAGGAATTTCCACCAACGTTGTGCCAAAACTTCATTTCCCTTCAATAATACTGAAAATAAATAGCTCAGGCCTCGTGCAGGTTTTCAGAACATTCAACGATCTCCTTAAATAGCGTAATACCATATTTTCCGGACTATAAGTTGCACATCCGTATATTGGGCCGTTTTCGCAGAAAAGTTTGTATAGGGTGTTTTCACTGACGTAATTTCGTCCACCATTTTGTTGTTGCGATCTGTCTGGCGTGTGCCAAACTCGAGCATTCCAAGGATTTACATGCTTTCTCAAATGCGTAGAGCACCGCTGACATCATTTCAGCCAGTTTTGATGTAATCCTTCAATGTAGTAAATTTGTTTGAAAAACCAAACTAACAACAAAATGGCTGATTGACGTCATGTGCAAACAACCTATACAAGTCGCACCTTTGTATAAGTCACACCTCTTTGCACGGTTCACACCATGAGATTTTTGTTTTACGCACATTGGTATCGCGAAATCGGAGTTACGCACAATCGGCTAGATCGCACATACCGTTTGACGCTGTGGGATTTTGCTATTAACTACCAACAGATGTACCGATAGAGTAACCAAAGGGTTATCTCAACAGCGGCGGCAATCTCAAAGGAGACGTCAAACCTAGTAGCGCGGTCCCCACATCTCCACGGCAATGTAGACGGCGTTTAGGGCTTCATCACCGCAGGTCAGTTCGATAAATTACTTCCGTCGGTGCCAATGATCGACTACCCTGTCTCACTCTCTCGAATATAGCAAAACAGAAGACACACGTACCAGAGTAAGGAGAGAGTCCAGTGAACAAAAGGTAAGGGCGCAAACGAGCTGGTGGTGGTTAAACATTTCGACAAAAACCCCGAGACTGGGACAAAAAGGGACGGACAAACACAAAGTCTCAAACACAGCTGAATTTTATTTGACAAGGAAGGGTGCTTATATAGGCGTCAAATCCTACACAAATCAAAAGAGACGAAGGAAAGAGAGGGAGAAACCTTCACAAACAAAAGAGACGAAAGAAAAGAAGAAAAAAGAAAACTCGTGCCACAAGCAGTACAACAAAAAACAAGCATTACAATAGAACTGAAAAGTTTATACAAAAACAAAAGCTAAGTAGAAGGACTAAAGTGCATTAGTCCCCAAGAGACCCCAACACCCAAGAGACCCCAACAATCCAAGAGCCTTTATTATAACACCCTTCTAAAAGAACTACAATGCCCCCATCCAAAATGCCCCCCGCATCAGCAAGGTAAGAAAAGGACCTTCCTTACCTGCAAGACGCAAGGTTCCTGAGAGCCAAGATCGTGGAAGCATCGGAGAAGTCGCCAATACACGTCCTATCTCTTTCGTAGTCACCGGACGAGTCCCTTTCCTGAAAGCGGGAAAACAAGGGGCAAAACCCCTTCGCCTGTCAGCTGTGATCTGCATCCAAGCGGGGGAACGGAAAGCAGGGGCGGCTCTACAGGGGGGCAAGGGTGGGCAGCCGCCCCCCTTAAATTTCTGCCTGCCCCCCCCCAAAAAGCTGTCGGGGGGGAGTTCAGTCTGCAAAGCAAAGGTCGTGGTTTCCCAAAAGGAGAATTAACGCTGCACATTACGGGCACTTTAGCAATGGACGCGGAGCATCCGTCCTTTCAAGCCAGCCAGGGATGGGCAAAATACATGCAAATATGTATCGAAATACAAATACTTTGTCAAAAATGTATTTAATTACAAATCTAATTACATTTCCAGAAAAGCATTTAAGTACAAAATACAAATACAACCAAATGTATTTGGTCTGCTCCAAATACTTTTTCAAATACATTCCTCAAAATTTGCGTAAGCAACTTCAGGGCACCTGCAACGGGTTTCTGGGTATCTCATTTTAATTTTTGCATCGCACACCCGGGAGTTAGTGTGCGATGCTCTAGTAACGTAATAGAAATATAATCACAAAAAAATGTAATCAGCTTGGACGTAATGGGTGAAAAAAGTACAGAGCTTCAAGCAGCTTTTTTTGTCGATTACATTTTGGTATAGACCAACAAAGAACCGAGACGACCAAGATGCGCAGCACTAGCTAGAGAATATTTTGTTGTTGCAACTCGCACTAGTTACGTAAATCTGGACGACCCGCACATTTAGAATGATCCAGGCAAAATAATGGATGGAAATCAGGCTGGAAAGCATCACAAGTTGTCACAAGCACTTATTTAACCAGTCTGCCTGTGAACGTCGATTTCGTCACTATTCTTGCCCTGGACTAGCACCGTAATCACAAAGTCACTAAACGTTTGTGCTTGATTGAGAGACACTGCATTCGGTGCAGAACGTAGTTTTCTTCCTGCTCTGGACAGTGACAATAAATTTGAGGGATGTATTTTCACCCACAAAATTGTATTTAATAGACCCTTCCCGAAATTCAGTCTGGCCACTTTGATTACTATCATCATCTGTGGAACGGCATTTGTGCCATACCAATGGCGGCCTTCTAGTGGCTGATAAAGGAAGACGTTGAAGATGCTCCTAAGCGGATGATGCGAGGCCTGTACATTCGGGGGTCAGTACGACGCGACGTAGGAATGGAACACACGAGCTACATAAGCGTTTATTTCTAATAATTCAGATTCATTCAATCTGTGGGCAGCACACAATCGTCTTTAAAGGGGCCCTGCAATCATATTTAAGCATCTACCTTTTTTGCGGTTTCCACGTCTCTTGGGGTTCGGGCAAGCCAGCGGGCACGGAGAGAGTAACTAAATATCAGTGCGTCATATTTTAACCGGACGACGCGGAAACCTCCTCCACCGACGAGGGCGACCCACGGTACCGAAAGCGCGCAAAATGTGACGTCTTTGGTCCTGGGCTTGCCACTGGTCAAAGCCGCTAAGAGCTTTTTTTAGTCGAGATACAAAATAAAAGTGTCGCGAACCGTTTCAATTATGTATGAAAGTAGTTTTTGTTCACTATTTTAGATCAGAAAAGAAACAAATGCAGTTTAGAAAGTACGGAAACGAGAAATGACCCGTCGACGTACCCGCCACCAAGCGGCGGAGAAAAACGGCGCATACTAGAAAAGGCTAGTGGGATGAGGCTACGTCGAACGAGGAGCGTAGAAAGGTCCCGGATGTACGCGGCTTCGCTGTGGTCGTATACCGGCTCCAGAATCCGACCGGTTCCGAGCGTTCCGAAGGCCTTCGGCGCGGGCCCTGCTGGCAATTTGGCCATTTGGCGGTGCGTCAGCGCGAAGTGGCTCCCGTTCTGAACTGATCTTTACCCCGTGTTTGCTGTCGTTTGTGGCCAATGAAGTGTTATGCCGAATTAGTGATTAGTCGCGCAGCAAATGCAATGCGAGCTGCCCTGGCCGCCCGCTTCATACAGCGTATCCAACACGTGCTTTAGTGGCGCCCTCTCGAGCCGTCGACACGGAGTGCGGCAGCCGTGTGCGCTCGATGAGCTCACTCAGCTCACTACTCCTCCTCTAGTTCAAGGCCACTCAAGCCAGGACCTACAACGTCATGAAGGAGGTTATTTTTTGCCTGTTTTTGTAATTCTAATTTGCCTATAACTTTTAAAATAAAGCGAAATATGAGAAAAGAAAAGTTGGATTAAGTTACTACGTTCAGTACGCTCAGGTTCAGTGCAAATTAAAAACCAGTCAAAAAGTCATTGCAGGGCCCCTTTAAAGCACTTTGTTGATAGAATTTTCTTGGGGCATCTCGGTGGGTTGGATCTTTGTTCTGGATGCGGGTTCTTGCATGGTCACCATCGAATTGAAAGGGATCGAGGAAGAACTCACATTGAAGAATTCCTCGCGTGCCGTTGACTTGCAAAAGTGACGGTGCCGATACAAGTTCATTTCCGCCATTGATATGGCAAATCCTTAACTGCTTTACGAACCACCAGATGGCACTGAATTTCGGAAAGGGTTTATTACAATTGTATTTGAAAAACCCACGTTTTAGTATTTAAATACGCACGTCAAATACATTACCCAATTTGTAATTAAATACAAATGCAAAATACACAAAGTATTTGAAATAGTAAATACGTATTTCAAATACTTGTATTTCAAGTACTGCCCATCCCTGAAGCCAGCCATACGTCCTTGGAAGGCCCCCCCCCCAAAGCAGGCAAATAAAATATAAGAATAGAGAAGCACGACACTATTTTTAGAAGAGACATACCACTCCCATCCAGCGTACTTTTCTTACTTTGATTGACTTCTTTCGGTGGAAGCGGACCCTGCAGGACCCCTTCGTCGAGAATAAGCTTTCTGGTTTTTGTCCGGACGCGTCTCCCTCTTTTGGGTGCGTGCCATAGCCGCTTGACCTTCAGCAGCGGCACAGCGCTGATGTTGCTCGCAGATTACACCGCCCCGCGGCGGTACCATGTGCAGGAAAAGCCGAAAGCGAGGTGGAAAGAGGGGAGAGAGACCTCGCTTGGTAGACGATGCCGGTTCGGCTGTTCGTCTGGAAGGATTTTACTATTGCCTTGGCTTCCACACTCAATAGCGCGGCTGCGAGATCCAGGCATCCCACCGTCCAGCGTAATTTCCTTCCTTCAACTGGATTGTCTTGGTGTAAGTGGGCCCTCGATTGTTCCGCTCACTTCCTGGGGAATGTAATCAGTTCTAGGAAACGTGAAGGTTCTTCCTCTTTTGGGTGTGTCAGAGTGCCATTGCCGCGCGACCTATCGGAGAGGCGACACGGCGGCCATGGTGCTCACGGAACGCACCGCTTGCCCTGCGGCGGCATCGAGTGCACTGCTGCTCAAAACACGTAAGGCCAAAAGCAAGGGGGAAAGAGGTGAGCGGGACTCTAAGCGAGGCCGTAGGAAACAACGCCGGTTTGTCTGTTTGTCTGTTGGGATTCCCCAGTAGAATCTTTGGAAAGTATTCAGAAG